TTGATTCAACCGTTCTAGGTGCTCAGGAAACGTTGACGAAAAGATAGTAATGTTGTCCAGGTAGCAAAGGCAACTTTTTCATTTCAGGCCACGCAGCACGATATCTATCATGCGTTCAAAGTTGCGGGTGCGTTGCAGAGCCCGAAAGGCATCACGTTGAATCAATATAGCCCGTAGGGGGTTGCGAGCGCCGTTTTCTCCTTATTGTCTTCATTGCATGGGGATCTGCCAGTACCCAGAACGCAAGTCGACGCTTGAAAAGAATTCTGCGTCTTGTAGGGAACCAAAGGCGTCGTCAATGCGTGGAATAGGGCACCTTATTGAGCACCCGGTAGTCCACGCAAAAACGCACAGAGTCATTCTTTTTACGGACCAAAACAATAGGAGACAACCAAGGGCTAGATGAGGGACGGATGACTTCCCGTTTAAGCATGTGCGCATCATTTTCTTCTATAATTTTTCTTTCAGCTAGAGACACGCGTTAGGGTCGGCGGTGTACGATAGATGTCTCAACAGTTTGAATTCGATGTGCTGTAGTATTAGTGCGGCCCAGCTTAGACGAGCAAATATTGAAAGAATTTGCATGTTTCTGTAACAACGCGAGCAGCTGCTGCCTCTGTGAATATGTCAATTCGCTGCTGATAGTGGTGGTAAAGGCGGCGGAAGAAACATACTCACCGAGGGAAGGTTCGTTGGATGCGATGGCCTGAAGTGGCGTGACAAATATAGGCTCGAAGTCGGCAACATGGGCCACAGTATTGCCCTGTGGCAGTAAGGTCTTCTCCGGTGTAGAGTTGACAGTGGTGACAAGTGCAGAGCCATTGCAAAAACGAACGACACCGGACGGAAGAACTATACCTTTACGAACGCGAAGGGGTGACGGTGAGACCAATACTTCACCGTGATAGTGTCGTTGGACGTAATGCTGACAATTTGCTCTTGTAGTGGCGGCAGTTCGATGTCTTTCGCAGCGGCCGGACAAAGTGGCTTCTGATTGTCGTCGTCAAGCATATAGTCGGTGTCAGCGAGGTGAACGACGTGTTGTGCACAAAAACTCCCCGCGGAAGCAGATGATAGAAAATTCCACCCTAAAATTAGTTTGTGAGAGCAGCGGGACAGGCTAGCAAACTGGACATGATGGCGGATGGCATCGATGAGAACACGCACAGTACAAAATGCGGAAGGGCGAATGACGTTTTCCTGGGCCGCAACTAACGTGGGGCCATCGTAAGGCGCCCTTACTTTTCTTATACTTTCCTGCATCAGCGTTTATTTCAGGAAAAACTTCGCAAAACGAACAGTCAGAGCCAGTACACACACGATGACGATGATGATGACCCAGAGTGGCAACGAGTACAAAGAGACAAGCGAATGATGGTGATTGTGATCATGCAGGGATGAGGACGATGTAAGTAACCCACAATATTAAGGTTCATTGAATGACTCTATTACCTTGAGTTGATTTAAAATACCTTTCATGACTTTATTTTCTCGCCAGCTCCATGGCAGCAGGAACATCCCGAAAGATCACTGCACCAATTCAAGCATGTAGCTGCAGAACGAGAGACAGCAGATGGAGTGGAAACTAAACACTTTTTACGCGTCAGAACTGTGTTCCACTTATTTCACTGCCCAGTAAAGCAGATGACTCGAGATACTGTAGGACGCCGTTCGCTCAAGACACGACGTGTACCTTTTGTTGCAGTAGACTACGCGGCAGTTGATTCCGATAAACTACGTACTAGCGGGCGTTTGGAGAGCGTTTGGTTCGGCTCAATCTCTCAACGGCTGTCTTCTTTGACGGCAGCGGCATGGTGTGCCAATCTCCCTTTATGGAGTTTATGCCTCATGACAACTTTCTGTGGTGGTACAGCCAATGCTACGCGGGCAGAGCTTCTGCACTTGAGTTACTACGCCAAGTAGTGCGTGTGCATGTGATTTAGGTTTCGCAAGTGCATTCAACATGTGCCGTTTCACACGAGCATGAAAGGCTCATGATTGTATTTTTAACTGCGTTCAAAAAGATTGGTGCATATATCATAGATTGAAGGATACGACAAGGCTTGAGATACTCAAGAATGTATCAGTGAACAAAAACCACGTGGAATTGTCGTTACGCTTCTCTACCAATGCCAATAAACTGTAAACGGCCAGCAGTTCTTGCCCGCGTGCAAGGAGGCACCTTACAGTAATGTTTGAATTCGTTTCGTGGAAAGCCGTGAAATATTTATAATTGAAGGAATACATGAAGCAAGTTTATGGAAGCAGCAAGAACAATTTGGAGGATAAAAGAGCGCATGGTGGAGCAGAAAGTGTATGCTAGGAAATGCAAGGCAATGCAGGAAACTATGTCCCGAATTTCAGTCAATACAGGTGGATTATCGTCCGTTTTTTTTTTTGGAGCAGCGAAATGTATTTAGAGACGCTCATGCTATTTTGTTAGTGGACGCGAAGGCATCGATGGGTCGCAAATATTTCGGCCACGACTGGGCACGAGCGGGCCTAGAGCGGGCGTCTCACGTTCGTAAATACAAGCACGTAAAAGGCACTCTTTCCTTGTTCAAGAATGCTGTTTTTACCAGTCAGTCACCCAACAGACATGAAGGCGACTGCTGCAAAGACGTAGCTTTGCACAGGTAATTTTGCCTTCAAAAACCGCTGTGATCACAAAGCGCAAAGAGACGCCCACGCTGTACACGCCAATGGGTGTGGTGTTACAGTTCGTAATCTCTACCCTCATTTTATGAGATATAGCAGGCAACCATAATATCGAGCACGTATAGATTGCAATTTACGAAAATGGCCATTACTTTACGTACACCTTGCAATCAGTCACCGGTGTCACTTTCAATGTGGATATCGCGTTGAGAAACCTATTTGCCCTGTTGTTGTTTTATCGTTCATATGTTATCAATCACACACATCTCGTATCTTGGTGATTGAACATACGAGAAACATAAAAATCTTGTAAAGCCGCGCTGTCTTGATTTCTATCAACTTGATCATCACGAGCTCGCTCCTGACGGCTTTCCTGCCTACCGGACAAACGCCGTATCCCGCCCCCAATACCTTTGTGAATGGCTCCCACAACTGGTGCCATCTCTCGACCGATCTTCACTTCATCGTACCACCGCCAGATGTCTCGATATACGTTCCAGTCTGGCCATTCTCGTCAAAGCAAACTTCACCGTCACCGGCTATAAAAGAGTGCCACCCGTCTTCGCCGCTCTGTGGGCTCGGTAGCTGTGCGAAAGTGCAGTCTAACTAATCCGTTTGTCTTCACTATGCAGGTTGGTAACACCCAGGTTATCTCTTGTAAAAAGTCAAGTAATTATTCTCTAGTACAGCTGCCGGGCCCGCAGTGCTGTGTTGCTATTATTGTCGAATGTTTTCAAGTGCTGCGCTCATTACTGCTTTTGGGAGGGGATAATAGAGAGTTTTAGCAGAGCGGGCCAGCGGCCAGCGGAACGGAGCGGACCAGCGGAAACGCCACTGCGCATGCGCCAGTACGCTGAGGCGGTGAGCGGCTTTACGGCGCTGCGCGCTCGCCCGCTCGTTTCGTCATCCCAGCGCAGCGCGCAGCGGCGGCCGGGCGAGCGAGCGTAGTTATTCAAAATGGCTGCCTACAACGGTCGCGGTGTCGCGTCGCCGGCCGTGGTCGCATCGAACGCTCCTGAAACAAAAATGCAACCAGCTAAAAAGCCCCGGAGGTGCTTCAGTGCTCACGAGGACCTCTGTCTTCTTCGGGAGGTGGCCGCGGCGAAGCCGTTTGGCGATGACATCAAGTGGGTGGTGGGCCGGGAGCTCACCCTAAGAGGTATAAAAGATCGTGTAGACATTTTTCTGGGATACTGGAAGCTGCAGAACTCCAAACCACCAAATTGGCGCAGCACCACAACACATAAGACAACACCACCACAACACGTAAGTAGAGAAACATCTCCAGTGGGATCACATTTCCTACACGTAAACTCAAATACAACTTTATTTAAAATACAATGGTTCAGACTCGAGGACGCCTAAGGTTGTAGATTATTTATTTATTAGGAGGTAACGGCAAGACATCACTGCGCACCAGCATTTTTCCTGCGACGAGGGGTCTAAAACGGGTAGTTCCAGCGAAAACACGTTCGGCTGGTTAACAATTTTGAAAACTGCTTTTCAAATGTAAGTGTATGTCTTGCCGGAACAATACGGGTAATTTCATTGAAAATGAGATACTGTCGTGTTGTACCTATAAGTCCTCAGGTAATAGAATCTTAATTCTTTGATAAATTGTCGGCTTCATTGCATCTGTCATGTTTTTTTTTTTTAAGTGTGAAAGGATCCAGCGTCAAGTGTAAACCTGACAACACCATACGGTATGCAATTCTTCAATAAAGTCTTTGTTTTCGAAGCTGCTTGTCATGGAACATTACCGTGGGGCAAAGCGAACCTCGAGAACTGGTGGTTCAAGGCCCAAGTGTAGGGATACGTCGACACTGTACACACATTTCGCACTGTACAGGGGGGACTTACATGCATGGGAAATTACATGACACTGCCAGTAATGTTGTGGCATTTAACTCAGTATAGCGGAAACGCTTGTAACAATACGAAATCAATTTCTCCATACGAAGAAACACAGGAATGTCAGTTTTTTGCACTTTTCGCTCAGCAGATTTCATTCACTATATCAAGTAGCGTACGTTTAGTACAGCAAATGACAGCCACAAGATCATTTTAAAGCATGGCTCGCCAACGAACTTTGTTTCGATAACTGTAGTTGGTTGTACAACACTATTTGTCGGCAAGGTAAACTTCAAGCTGTGGTGGTTAAAGGCCGAAGTACTGCGATACCTGGGCACCATACAAGCAAGTGTGACAGTTTGCGAGGAGTGCGCTCGCTTTGTATATGCGTGGAAGGTTCTGAAGGTAGAGTTTCTGTTTTTTTTTTTGAAGTCCACGAAGGCAAACAGTCCGACAATTTTTCCAAAACCCCACTCCACAGCCTGCCTCACACTACTCATGGCTTTGTTGAAAGCTAATTGTTCAGGAGTCAGGAGAGCTCCGCCATAGGGCTTGAGCAGAAGGGGCCGCAACGGGTAGGCAGGGTCCCCGTAGATGCAGCAGTCGTGACCTTGAACGAGGTTTTGTAGCTTCGTATACGCGGCGCTGTTTCCAAAGTTACCTGAAAGAATAAATTACGATTAGCTGGAGCTGCGCCCGTTCCTAGCAGGGAAGGAGGAGGCGAGTGACGTTCAGCAGCGGTTTGATCCACCAGCTGTGCTTGTCATTTACTCGCCTGAATCGTGTTTGCTGCCGGGGTATGATCCGTCCAACTGGCAGATTATGCCATTTGGGCACATTATAGCTTCGTACTTCAGGGCGTGGACTCTCTTGTGGCCGCTGAAGTACACTTTCTGGTTCCTTGTTGGTCGGCATATTGGCTGCGCCGTGCCATCGATGAAGGCCCAGCAATTTGTCAGCGGGGCACCTTTCGCGGGAACGGCCTGAAAAAATACCGAACGAATATGTCAGAAAGTTGTAATTGCGAATGTACAACTCTAATTATTCTCGCTTGCCTTTGAGAACTCTTCCAGGGTGTCCAGGTTCAGCCACGTGTGGTTATTAACGTCGTCCAGAAGGTGGAAGAAGTTGTCCTCGATGTGCCTGAGCACTTCGTTCGTCAATGACGATATGGTCGAGCTGTGTCGGGCGAAAAGGTGTTCCAGATCGCGCAGCCGGTTTGGGTAGGCTAGTCTTCTTAGCGTGATGCAAAGGGCCTCGTCGCCGGGAACTGACACCCTCTGCGGAGTTGTTACCTTGTCAGGTATGCACAAGGCTCTCTGTAGCCTGGGTACATCGTCCTTTTCAAACCGAAAGTACGTTCTGAACACGCCACTGTCGATCGCATCAATGTCCAAAAGACCTCGCATGGAGAGTGGGTCACGCCGTGTCTCGCCCAGAACTTCTAAGCACAAGACGTCGACTATTTCGGACCATTTCAACCGAGTCAGGAGCAGGGGGTCCTGCAGTATGCTCTGGGGCATTGTTCAAAGCAGTTATCAGCGGCAATTTGCAGCGGCAAGCCACACACTGTCTGTTAAAAAGCGCGGCAACAAACAGCTGGCTTGGAGCTTCGACTTCAGTTGGCTTGGTGACGTACTTTCCTCAGTTTAACGACTTCGCTAAAAGATACAAATCACCGTTAAAGTAAAATAATATGTACTGAAACATAAAATTCGTGTTTGTATTGTGGTTTTAGCATCTAAAAATAAACCTTTACTTTTTTTTCCTATCAGGGTAGTTCAAATTTGAATGGACAGATGGCGCAGTACAACGCTTCGCTGGGGGCAGCAGCCGATCGCTCAGCTAAAACTCTTTTTTTCGCGCGTCGTTCCGCTGGCGCTGCTGCGCTCGTCCACTCCGGTTCGCTGGCCGCTGGCCCGCTCTGCTAAAACTCTTTATTGAAACTAACCCGGGGCCTCCAGATACCGTACATGCTGTACTCACCGAGCTGAAAAATCTTTCTGTAGCACAAACCAAATTGATCGTGGAACTTCAAACTGTTAAAGATCATCTGCGATCAACAGACGCAGCACTGAACGATGTATGCAAGCGTCTGACTAATCTGGAAACGCATTACTGTCAACTTTCAAGCATGCGCAGAGAGCTAGATGACACAAAAACCTTAACCACTGATATCACCCGGCATTATCATAACTTTCAATCCCGTGCAGACCCCCGCAGGGGCGCCTGCGCAAGTAGGCGTCTGGTGTGTAGCGACACCACGGACCCGAGCTAACGGGGGAGTTTCGACTCCCTCCCACGCCTAGCCGTGCGTGGCTTTGCCGTGTCCGGGGAAAAAGGGATCCTGGGGGTTGAGCCGACGCTGGGTGCTTGGACCTTTAAGGCCCCCCGGCAGAGGCAACACACCCCTTTGTCCCTGGCTTCACGTAGACGGCACCCCCGGATTGACCCGCCTGGGGGGAATCAGCAGTCGCCTTTTCCTGTCTCCCCCTCACATCTTCGTATTTTCTCTTACTTTAAATCTTTCCTGTCCTCTACTCTCTTCCGTTGACTTCCGTGTTTTCTGGCGGCAAGGGTTGACACTGTGTGGCTATCCTACCTTGGATACACCATATTCGGTTATAGTGGTGGTGTACAGCTGGCGTCTGCAGGTCCTGTGCTTACAGACCCTGCAGCGTCTCCTTGTAGGACTCCATGGTGGGTGGCTGGCGCCGCTGCCGAAAATAAACCTTTTCTCATGGCTAGCTCCTTCCCCCCACTCCCTGATCGCCCTCAGAAAAGAGGGCGCACCGATGAAGTATTCCAGTTTTTTGGTCACCAGAGAGTATCCTTTCCCCAATTCCACGTTATCCACACTGACACACCCGGCAAACCAGTGCGAACAATTTCACCTTTTCTTGTTTCAAAGTCTTTGACAGAAATCTTTGGCCCAGGATATAAAGCTTCGAGAATGGCAAGTGGTGACCTCCTGTTGGAGCTCCGCGACCAGAAACAATATGAAAAATTGCCTAACCTAACGAAATTTGCAGATACCAAATTAATAGTAACCCCACACCGAACCATGAACACCACCCATGGCGTTGTCTCAGATGATAACCTGTTAGGACTGACGGAGGTTGAACTCCTGGAGGGGTTCAGCGAACAGAATGTCATCAACGTGAAACGAATTAGGATGAGGTGTGATGGCAAAGAAATCCAGACTAAGCACCTGATACTTACTTTCAATTCAAGTGTACTGCCCGACTCCGTTGAGGCTGGGTACATCAAGCTTCGAGTGAGGCCATATATACCGAACCCTCTCCGATGTTTCAAATGCCAGCGGTTCGGCCACAGTTCTCAGAACTGCCGAGGCCGCCTAACTTGTGCGAAATGCAGTGCTGACGAACACACATCTGATGCCTCTGAAAACTCTCCTCACTGTGCGAATTGTAACGGGGAGCATGCCGCATACTCACGGTCGTGCCCAAGCTGGAAGAAAGAAAAGGAAATCGTCACGATTAAAGTAAAACAAAACATTTCATTTAAGGAGGCACGAAGGCAGGTGTCCTACCTGCCAGAAACCAGCTTTGCCGAAGTGGCGCGTCAGGGGGCAGCGCCACGACGGCCCCCGGCGCCTGTCTGGCACACGCGTAGTGAGCCAGCGGTGACGCCATCCGCCCCCTCGGCGGTTGCAGCCAGTGCTGCTCCGCCATCCAAGAAAGACCCACCAACCTCCGGGCTGGGGGCCGCGAAGGTCTCGTCCTTTGAGGCGAGGCCCTCAAAACAAATGCAGCGCTCGCAAGAGCGCGTGTCCAGCGCCTCGCAAGAGGCAATGGACACAACACCGAGCGTGAGAGCGCAGCCAGCGCCTAAGGATCGGCGCGACTCTGTCGACCAATCTAAAAAAGAAAAATCTCGTGTCACGGCCCCTGGAAAGGGTCCGTGAGCTTACTTTCCATCCTTGAGCACAGAACACAAAACACACCTAAAATGGACACACAAATACTACAGTGGAATGCCAGAGGCCTATTTAATAACCTAGATGATATCAAAGACTTACTTAATGTCTATCAGCCAAAAGTGTTCTGTGTTCAAGAAACTCATTTAAAGTCGACTCATGTGAATTTCTTAAATCAGTATGTGGTTTTTCGTAAAGATCAAAATGGTGGCAATTTCTCTTCTGAAGGTGTGGCCATCATTGCACAAAGAAGCGTAGCATGCCAGCACATTGTGCTACAAAGCTCTCTTGAGGTTGTGGCTGTTCGCGCTATTCTATTCAACCGTCTTATATCTATCTGCTCAATCTACATAGCCCCTGACGAACCATTCAATAAAACAGAGTTCGAAAAGCTTATTGATCAGCTTCCAGAACCATATGTGTTAATTGGAGATTTTAATGCTCACAGTTTGCTATGGAGTGATACCAAATGGAATGCGAGAGGTCGTGCAATAGAAAACTTTCTTCTCGCATCTGGAGCCTGCCTGCGCAATAAGGCAGAGCCAACATACTTCAGTACCACACACAATACATATTCATGCATAGATTTAGCCATTGGGTCACCGTCACTCTTACCTTACTTAGATTGAAAACTTATTAATAATCCATATCGAAGTGACCATTTTCGAACTCTTTTAGTAACAAAACAACGGGATGACCGGCCGTCTTATCCCAAAAAGTGGAACTTTCATGTTGCAAACTGGGTGAAATTCAGAGAGCTATGTACACTACACCTCGAAGAGGTAGACCATTTGGAAGTAGAAGAGATGGCCAACTATATTTCGGAATATGTTCTTACTTGTGCAAAAAAGTGCATACCGCAGTCCAGGAATGATAAGGTTAACGCAAAGCCGTGGTTGAATCGGGAGTGTGAAATTGCTAAAAAACGGCAAAACAAAGCATGGAAGGTTTTTTTTCTCGCTACTCAACAGCAGAAAACTTGATAACCTTTAAAAGTTGCAAAGCGAATGGAAGGCGTGTTCGCCGTATAGCCAAACGGGAAAGCTGGACACGCTATATATCCTCAATAAACTCCTACACAGACGTCAGCAAGGTTTATAATAGGGTGCATAAACTTAAAGGACAAGCCCCAAATCCCTTCCTTTTGGTGAATGACTGCGGTGATACAATAGAAGAACAGGCAAACGCTCTTGGCGAACACTTCGAGAAAATGTCAAGCTCAGAAAACTATACCACTAAGTTCTTACGCCACAAAAGCATAGCTGAAAGTGTACCTCTGTGCCGGAACAAGCCTCGATCAGACGGATACAATAAACCACTAACAGTATATGAACTGAAGCTCGCCCTTGGTTCCTGTGGAAGTTCTGCTCCTGGTTCTGATACAATTACTTATGAAATGATCAGAAATCTCCCTGATGAAACCCTGAACTGCCTTTTAGCACATTACAACAAGATTTCCAGTACCGGCAAAATACCCTCTGCTTGGAAAGAGGCAATAGTACTACCAATCCTTAAACAGGGCAAAGATCCCTCCTCGGTTAATAGTTACAGGCCTATCGCCCTCACAAGCTGCCTACTCAAAGTGTTTCAAAAAAATTATTAACCGCCGCTTGGTCTATTACTTGGAATACAATGGCATATTGGACCCGTGCCAGTCTGGTTTCCGTACAGCTGGATCCACAACCGACAATCTTGTCCTACTCGAGTCGTATATACGTGACGCGTTTGTACACAATCAATACTGTCTGTCTGTTTTCTTCGATCTTGAGAAGGCATATGATACTGCCTGGCGATATGGAATATTGCAAGATCTACTGTCTTTTGGTATATGTGGCAGGTTGATTACCATCTTAAAAGATTACCTGTCTGAAAGGAAGTTCCGTGCAAGAATAGGTACTGTGTTATCGCGCACATTTCTTCAAGAAAATGGAGTGCCGCAGGGAGGAGTATTAAGCTGCACACTATTTATAGTTAAAATGAACTCTCTTCGCTCTGTTATTCCACCTGCGATATCGTACTCTCTATACGTGGACGACATTCAAATTAGTTTCAAATCGTGTAACTTGGCTGTATGCGAACGCCAGATACAGTTAGGTGTTAACCGACTTGCATAATGGGCTGACGAGAATGGTTTTAAGCTTAACACTGACAAGACTATTAGTGTGCTGTTCTCGAGACGACGAGGTGTGCATCCTGACCCCTGCATTATAATGAATGGACAAAACATAGTCATCGCGAAAGAACAAAAATTCCTCGGTGTAATTTTTGATTCCAAACTCACCTTCATTCAGCACATAAAACAGATGAAGTTAAAATGTCTCAAGACCTTGACCCTTTTAAAGATTTTATCGCATCAGTCGTGGGGGACAGACAAGTACTGTCTCATATCTCTGTTTCGAAGCCTGGTTCTGTCACGCATAGACTATGGATGCATAGTATATCAGTCAGCTTCAAGGTCAGCACTGAAAATGTTGGACCCTGTATACCACCTAGGTATCCGGCTGGCTCTTGGTGCCTTCCGTACCAGCCCTATTCAAAGCCTTTATGCAGAGTCAGATCAGTGGCCACTAGACTATCAGCGCACATATCTAGGAGTCAACTATGCAGTTAAGATCATGTCTCTTAAGCAGCACCCATGTAAAACACTTATGAACGATGTGTCTACTACCCAGTTATACCTAAACCGTCCTTCTATCGCCCCACCGTTCCCATTGGCAATAAGACCTGCAGTAGAAAAACTTGCAATTTTCTTCAATGACTTTGAGGAAAGTGACCAAGTCGAACACATCC